TGTCATGATGAGTACGTTAGTGGGTGAGTTGATATTTGACATCCAATATTGCAGCCATATTGCGATGAGAACAAGTTAATTATTATTAAGTACTTATCGACAAAGGACACTAAAACAGTAAGGCAAGTATCAAAGGCTAGGTATAAAACAACCCGGATCACATTCAAATCAAATAGTTTTTCAGTAGATTAGTTAGTAACAACCAAAGTTAGTCCACCTTACTGGGGTCATGGGGACTTACGGTACTTTTCCTTTTGGCTTCTTGCATGATTCCCACTGAGACATCAAATTTAGGCAAGAAGTAGGCATCCCGTTGGACACCAATTGTGCTCCGCTCCTTGCGGATCTGTTTCATTATGTATATGAATCGGAATTTCTGTTCGGATTGGAAAGTCATAACAAGGTAATTTGGCCAAGAAGTTTAACTTAGCTTCAGGCATATCAATGATTTGATATCGTTCAATAACAATCAAATAGCCAATTCCCTTCCACTGATTTATCCACTTGAACTAGAAAGGATGAGGATTTAGCTGTGATCATGAATTACCAAGACAACATTAGAGGTCCATGGGCTATGTGAAGGTCGGATAACTCGGGCAGACAAAAGATGGCTAATTACTTCACTATACATGCCGGGCGCAATTCGACGGTGTCTCTGTTTAAATGGAATGTCATCTTGTAAGTATATTCTGTGTTCAACCATATTTGAGTGTCATCGTCATCCCTTTTGGAGAAAATATTTGTAAACTTCATGATAACTTCAAGTCCCTGTGTTATCTCCTCTCTTATTAATCCACCCTGTTCAACTTCCACTTGCTCAAGTAAATTGTCAGAGTCCACAGGTTTTCCAGGTGATAATCTTTCAATTGTAACAGGTTGTAATTCACAAAGAACAGCTCTTGGGTGTATAATAGCTGTTTTTGTTGTGATATTGGACACAAGTTACTTTATTTCCTCTGGGCGGTGGTAATCATAAGTGATAAGATTTGGTGCACTATCCAAATCAGATGATACTGTGGTAGCCTGTAGAAGGGTCCATACTTGCCGATATGGGGTTCCACCACTCAACTGTCCTTTCATAGTAACTGTACTGTTAGCCGGTATGGAAATACTGTTGTCTCTGCAGATTTGACAAATCCTAACTTTCCTCAATTCTTGGTCAACTCCCTATCCTGGATGACCAAATTCCGGAATGTCAAATACCATGGTGTGTACAAGTCACCTTTTTTAAGAAATCTCGTTCCATTAAAGGCCTTGCATTCTTCCAACAGATGTGAAAGGACATTGGTTCCCAATAGGACCGATACCCTACAGTTGTATCAGGGACAACTAAGAGTAAACATGAAGTATCTGTATCCTTGTCTGTGCCACAACCAATAGACTTAGTGTTTACTTCAACGAATCCCTTATATGGCAATGACGACAGAGACGGAGAACATCAGTAGTTTGTGATCTTTTAACTTTTAAGAGCTGGATTAAGTCAATCCCATAATCTTGTCCTCAACATTTCATCTTGCTCAGCTGGTGGTATTGACTTCTGCTCTGCAAACTGATAGAGTAACCTTTCCAAGCCCAAACTCTATGCTGAGACATCCTCGCTTTCTCCTTGACAAGTACTGTAAACTTGAACATAACTACAGAGCTCCTTCTAAGTGTGCCACTTAAAAGCACTTTTAAGTTTCGATAAGATGTCTGATATGGTGGCCTTATGTCCCTGTTTCATGACGGCTAGAGCGCTTCTCCTTTAAGGGATCGTCGTATTGCTTGTAGGATTGGAATAGGTCTGTGTGTCCAATAAACAATTCAACTCAGAGGGCCACAAGTCATACTCCGCATCCTTTCCAGGCTCTCTACTAAAGAAATGCAGTTTAGGGAGGTTATGATAGGTCACTGTGGATGATTTCATATCAGATTTTGGGTTCTTTTCTTCAGGCTCCTTCTTAACCACAGGTGCCATGTCCTGTTGTGATAATTCTTGGACCCAATGCTTAAAATCCTCAGGTGATTCAGATTTGGGGTTTAGTCCTGCCTTTCGGAATGCTTCCACCATATTATCGAGTTCCTCCTTGCTGAGCTCCATAATGAATGAATGCGCAAATATTCACTGAACGTGAAATGCATGCAGCCTAACGAGAAACAGCGGTTGTTGTTGTAGTAGAAGGTATATCGCATACCAAAGTATTGTAGCAATGTCACTATAAATGCACAATGTAGCGCAGAGAGAAGTAAATAGAGTAGGTAAAATACTATATGCACAGTAATAATACCTACTTGTGTTGACTAGCAATGCAACAACGAAGCAAAGCAGTAACGGTGAAGTATAACGCAATGAAGCGGGAAGCAGCAAACGTAGAGTACAACGCGGCAAAGTAGCAGTTTCAAGCACAGAGCGGGCATGCAGGCGCAACGCAATAGAAAAAAGTTATTCAGTGTCACGAAGTACTAAAATAAACAACACCAGAGACGATATATCAACCCGTCCATGAAGAAAAGCCCCAAATACAAATGACCGATGACCTGTATACTACAAAGGAAGCATTGCTAGTATAATGCCGTGTGTGTGCAGTTATTTGTGAAATCTATCAAATATACTAATTTGTGTACTAAGTATAGAAACTACCAACGTGATAAAGAATGTATGCCTATTTAATACATGCTTAGAGAATGTTTTCAAAGTCCACTCAGTCACACATCAAGCAATCACCAATCTATGTTCCTTACCCAAGCTTAAGAAACACAAGTGCAATCACCAAGTTAACTAAGGGAAGTACACAAAATTTCATCTTCTACAGTAGTACCGGTACCAGTTAAATATTAATGGCACGGTAGTAACATACATGCACGTGTGCCTGTAATGAATCAAAGCGACAAAAAATAGAATTCAAACAATGTTTCCAATTTTTAAAGTGACTAAGCAAAAGCTTTGACAAGCCGGCATATAAATGTTTAATTACAATTAAGTATAACAATACAAGTAAGGTGTACCACATATCAACACAGGGAATAAACAACAAATTGTGTTCATAATGCCTTTATGGCTATACTTCACCTAAGCATTCAAATACACAAACCATGAGGCATATCAATCTCCTTATCATGGAGAAGGAACTCATGGCCATCCCTGATTTCTTTCAATGCACAAAAAGTTCAAAAGTGGCAGATACATAGAAAACCACAAATCACTGTTATAATGTCATGACAGTCACGCCACTATATAGTCCTTATATAAGTTCTCACCCTGCATAAGGCACAAGTCTAAATCCGGACTGGTATCAGACGTGGAACATTAGATCCATCTCTCGAAGGCAAACAGTTGATCCATCTCTCGGAGGCAAACAGTTGAATGCTGTTCTGTATCGGCTACTGGCGTTACACAAATATCCTCACTGGGGGATCCATTGTTGCAGCCATGAGATAGTGGTGTTAGGGTCTTATGTTCATAAAGCGCAGGCTACAGGTTGTGAGTTGATATCGGTTTATTCCATGTTAGTGGAAGAAGACACTCTGTAATAATAATAATAATAATAATAATATATAAAAAACAATATACATAAAATAAAATCACACGAGGTGAACATACCATCATGATGAACTAAGTACATAAATGTGTCTGTCTATAATAATATACATGTATAACACAGTAATACATTACACAAGGGACTTTATATGATCACATGTTTACACAACTAAATATCTGTTGACATAAAGACTATTACAATAACATGGCATAATAATGAAACTGACTATAGAGTCTGTATAAAGGATAATATATTGATCAAATATATTTCTTGTTAACTAGATAACATATAAAGGGCTACCATTATACTTACTGAAACATATATAAATAATTGTAACCACCACTTTGAAATTCTACAATATTTCCAACCATACAGGATTGATGATATATATCAATCTTACAGTAAACAGTTACAAAACAATAATTACTAGCCAGCATATTGACCAAATATTGATATTTAATATGATATCACTAAATTAATCCATGTTACGGTTAGTATAGAATTCATAGAATAAATGCAAAACAGATGACAATTTACGAACTCTCAATATCTGTGTCGCATACGAAAACCTATTTTCTTAAGATGGTGTATGATGTCAATATGATAGTAGATTATGTCTATTGTTACACACATTCATGTAAGGAATTGGGTTAAGCATTTTCCGAGTTGAAATTAAATTCGCATTTTTGCCAACTATGGCCATCAATGATATCTAGATGATGATGCCATAAGTGCCTATTGTGCAAAACCTTATATTTGTTAAATAATTCTATGAACCTAATTTTCTTTAAAATATTGTAACAAAGTACTTTTCTTTTTGTAACAGACCGAAGCGTAGTCATTTTTATCAAGCAATTTACAATTTACAGTTAGCTTTCCCATTTGCTCAATCCTCTAGCTAGATGTCAGTCATTGTGTTGTGCAGGCCACTGACATAAAAATGGAATATTACTGTACGCGGTTTTAAACAAAAAATATTCAAAGAAACAATTACAGTCGTTGGGGGTTGGGGGGGGGCGTGTGTGTGTGTGTAGGGGGGGGGGGGTGGGGTGGGGGGGTGGGGGTGGCAGTTGTCTAAGGCGCCGCGATTCGCTGTGCAGAGTTGCGTCCCTTTAGTACGCAAGAAACCTGCATTGCATCGGTTTTCCACATTAAGCTGACACGCCGCGAAATAACAGGAATACTATTAAAAGCGGCGTTAAACCCAACTCACTCACTCAGTTGTTCAGATTATAGGAACCCAGCCTAGTAGGCAACTTCACTGGAGACCATAGTTAATACTGAAAGCAAAGAAAACACAAAAGGCAAAAGAATTTCAAAAGCAATACATGCACTGGTTGTCAAACAGGGAGTCATTAATAATCCAAAGATGCCGACTCGGCATTAACAACATGAACATAAAACTGGCGATAATTAAAGTGACTGTCACTTAACTGAACAAATTGAGGGGAGCTTCGTCATCCTCCTATACACATTCTCTGGTGGAGATGGACGTCAAATGGCATTGTCTGAGGATTATCACTTTTATCATTTTAATTCGGCATGTTCTAACAATTGGGGGCATACGAAATGGTTATTTCATGAGACTGGAAGGTTTCAACGGTTATGTTGTGACGGTCTCCGCTTTGTGGTCGAGGAAAAGCTCTGGGCGTTTATCCACTTGCATTATTGCCTGTTTGGGGGATCTGAACTGCAAGTCTGTGTTTTTCAACAAAGCCTCTTCTAACTGCATCGGACATTCTACGGTTTACAGAACACCGTTGTTGGCGACGAAAGAAGCGAACACCATCTACTATGAAAACAAAACACCAGCAGGTTAGTGAAACCACAATGCCTCGTTGTTTAGATTGATTTGCCATGTAGGTATGTTACTCATATTTTGCACAAATACTAGTTGAAACAAAAATATTTAAAAAGTATTTATTTTCTTAAAATGTGATCCATATTTATGGGTTGTTATGTTGTAAAGTGGGCAGGCGTTAAAGTGTAATACTGTTTTGTAGAAAAATAACATAAATACCTTGAAACAATATACATATTCAAAGCACAATATAGGTTCAACATATAATATGTTTTCAAACTTAAGATGTACATACTTTGTAAATACCTTTCGTTAAGATAATGATATCCTGTTTAAAATCATGTATATTTTGAAATATATATTTTCAAAATAAGGACAGATCTTTTTATTTGGCTTGGATTCTTTGGACCAAATTATGTGGACGGAGGCGGGAAAATATTTTCATTTATTTTTTAAACAGATCAATAAACAAATGTTCGTAGTACGGATTTATTGGGCCAAATTGATATTTCCTGGTGTATTCTGCACACTCGAATATAATTCGTAACCCTCAACCTCAACCCCCATTCTTTGATACATGTTTTGGGAAAAATATTATTCAATATAGTGCGCAATCCGAAACTGCCTCCTCTAGCTTCAGCTAAACTTGATAAATGAAAATGTGAAACATAAACAACCCAACACATAATTATTTCCAATTTCAATTGTATTTACTGTATGCTAGGCATTGTTTTACATGCACATTTCCTCCCTGATATACCCGTGTTTAAGTTTAAAATACCCAGTATCACTGACAAAAATGTTGTAGTGAGTGAGTTAATATTTAACGTCACATCGGCAATATTGCAGCTATATCGTGACGAGACAAAATTTGACTTTAATAATATATATGTAAACTGTCTCAAATTCAGTTGACAAAGGACAGTAAAACAACTAAATTATCACAGATATATGTTTAAAACTAGTACATAACCATAAAATATGACAATACATTACAATAGATGAAATTGGGCTATATATCACCAGCAATTAAAGTGAGGTCACCATACTGAGGACCATGTTGGAAGCAATATTTTTTTTAAATGTATCTGAATTATACATCTTTATATTAAAAATAACGCCAATTATCGCCATTTAAGCGCATGGAATAGTATGACAGGGCACAGTATGAGGCTTCCCGCTGTATTGCTTTTTTGATTGCGAAAACATTGATATGTTGACATTACAATTATAAAGCAGCGACAAATATTATATACTAGATTCGGTTAACGCGTCAATGACGTTTATCTTGTCTGCTGTAAACATTGCTGAGTTGGTGTATTATGCAGATCAAGCCACACATTAAGTCTTATTGAAACTATATTTCATTTAGTTTAGAAGATCCGCAATACTAGACACAAATAGTCTGGCCTAATAATATAAAATAAATAACACCATCTTTTATGTTGAAAGTTCCATTCACAATAAAGTATGTACATAACTACCCACAACACACCATACCGTTCACGACCTACATTCAACAATGTCCGTAACTACCCACAACACATCATACCGTTTATCGCCAACACTCAAAAATGTACGTAACTACCCACAATACACCATACCGTTCACCTCCTACAATCAACAATGTACGTAACTACCTACAACACACCATACCATTCACGACCTACAATCAACAATGTCCGTAACTACCCACAACACACCATACCGATCACGACCTACAATCAACAATGTCCGTAACTACCCACAATACCCCATACCGTTTATCGCCAACACTCAACAGTGTACGTAACTACCCACAATTCACCATACCGTTCACTACCTACAATCAACAGTGTACGTAACCACCTACAACACACCATACCGTTTACCTCCTACAATCAACAATGTCCGTAACTACCCACAATACACCATACCGTTCACCAAAAACAATCAACAATGTACGTAACTACCCACAATACACCATACTGTTCACCATCTACAATCAACAATGTACGTAACTACCCACAAGACACCATGCCGTTCACCACCAACAATCAACAATGTACGTAACTACCCACAATACACCATACTGTTTACCGCCAACAATCAACAATGTACGTAACTACCAACAATACACCAAACCGTTCACCTCCTACAATCAACAGTGTACGTAACTACCTACAACACACCATACCGTCCACCTCCTGCAATCAACAGTGTACGTAACTACCTACAACACACCATACCGTTCACCTCCTACAATCAACAGTGTACGTAACTACCTACAACACACCATACCGTCCACCTCCTGCAATCAACAGTGTACGTAACCACCTACAATACACCACAGCGTCCACCTCCTACAATCAACAATGTGCGTAACTACACACAATACACCAAACCGTCCACCATCTACAATCAACAATGTACGTAACTACCCACAATACACCATACTGTTCACCATCTACAATCAACAATGTACGTAACTACCCACAATACACCATACCGTCCACCATCTACAATCAACAATGTACGTAACTACCCACAATACACCATACTGTTCACCATCTACAATCAACAATGTACGTAACTACCCACAACACACCATACCGTTCACCTCCTACAATCAACAATGTACGTAACTACCCACAATACACCATACCCTTCACTACCTACAATCAACAATGTACGTAACTACCCACAACACACCATGCCGTTCACCTCCTTCAATCAACAGTGTACGTAACCACCTACAACACACCATACCGTTTACCTCCTTCAATCAACAATGTCCGTAACTACCCACAACACACCATACCGTTAACCACCAACAATAAAGTATGTACGTAACTACCTACAACACACCATACCATTCACGACCTACAATCAACAATGTCCGTAACTACCCACAATACACCATACCGTTCACCACCTACAATCAACAATGTACGTAACTACCAACAACACACCACGCCGTTCACCTCCTGCAATCAACAATGTACGTAACTACCAACAATACATCAAACCGTTCACCTCCTACAATCAACAGTGTACATATTAAACGTATCTACTTTACGGCATGACCATCGAGAAGATCAATACCTTTGTGAATACTCACAATACCTTGATGAGTTGATAATGGTTGTCTGCGTCTGAGTGCGCCAAAGCGTGGGTGTGCGCTCATCTGTTACTTTCAAAACGTTTCAAAAGGAAACCGGTGCGGGTGAGAGATCCAATGCAATTCAATATCCTAACTTCATGATTCGTTTAACTCTTAATGTGAGAACAAGTTTAACAAGCTAACACTCTCTCTGCTGGACTCTGAGCAGACAAGGCTTAAGGCTGTGGTTTTTGCCCGGTGATATGGATAGTGCTCACCCAAGCCATGACACCAGCGCTACTTTTGCAGCCAATCCATAACATATGTTGGTCTCCCCTGTTTGGAATTACCCGCCCTATGCTCACAAGTGTACACTACCTGCGTTACAATGTACAAACGTGGGTGACGTCCCTTATGACGTGGCACGGCTTGCCCAGTCGTCTAAGGCACCGCGATTCGCTGTGCAGATTTGCGCCCCTTGGGCATGCGAGAAACCTATGATTGTGGGTTCGAATCCCGGTTCGTCCCGATTATGTTTCTAGGTTTGTCAGGACCATACCCGTGCTCATGGGTTTCACCGAAGTGGTAAACGTCTGAGACCTGCATCACTTTGGGCTTTCCTCCCACATTAAGCTGACACGCCGTGATATAACTGAAATACTGTTAAAAGCGGGATTAAAACCAACTCACTCACTCCTTATGAAGTACCCATGTGTGCTTGCACACTATCTCTGTTGTACATTGGGTCAATATGGTCGTGCCTGGCCACTAATTTTTTCACGCAATTGGCAATCCAACGATGAAGCTTCTTCCTTGCTGTTTCGACCTTGCCCACAATTGTTGGCCCCTCGCCATACCCTGCAAGAAAGCATCTAAGACAACATCAGTGTGAAGTGAGAGAGGCAAAGACATGTGTGTAATAGGTTCCACAGATATCAACATGCAGATGGAGTCCAGCTTTGACACAAAAGTCGTTGAACCCAGGTGTATGATCAGCCTCCTTGGATGTTGCTTGATGACAACAACCGATCTGTATTTGCTTCAACCATAAAAGTTGAACCCTTTCACCTTCCAACTAGTAGGACCATGACCTGCAATCACTGAGGGCAGCTCCTGCTAGGTTCTGTCACCTATCACCAATGTAATGCTGAGAGCACGAGAATTGACATGCATCTACCATATTCTGGAATTTTTGATGATCTACCCTGTCCATTGCTGCCGACCGAGCAGCGCCGATTCGAAAGGAATGAGTTGCATACTGGCGGGAGTCAAAACCGCGAAAAGGGACTGAAACTGACATCAGGTTAGAACACGACCATCGTAATTTATCAACAGCTGCTGACATCCAACAGGCATAACCAACACGTAGCGAGACTGGACATATTGGTGAGTGTGGTATGGGTGATATATGTGTATACACTGTGCCACCCCTTTTTTCAATCGTTTGGATAAAAGGAAAACATTTCTTTTGTTCAAATCGGATACGAAAAATATGAAAATATGTAGCACAAACGCAACGTCAACAGAAAAGCATGATCTGGTTGCAAAATGTGTCTTTCATGCAGCAATTTTGCAGTTGATGATGTAACCGAGGGTATCATAGCGTGCGTGTTGCAGGGATTCGGTTTACATTGTTTCTACTTGTCTTGACAACTGCAACACGGACAAAACATCAAATTTCAATCATCCGAGGTCCATAGGTATGCTCAAGACAGGAACGTCGCTGCGTAAAGATGCCTGGCGACTGAGCGTGCATAGAATCTTCATTTAGACGTTATGGCAGCGGTGACAGCAAACAAACGCTGTCAGAGACCGACCAAGGAGCGGTTCCCCGTTACGAGCGTCCGTCATAATCGTTGATTCGAACCACCAACAATCACTGTCTAGCCTTTGTCGAATATCGGCACAGACTGTACGTCGCAGTCTTCGACGTGACTGGATTGTTGCGAGGAGACCAGCCAGATTCACAATTCTGACCAACAATCACCGCCGATCGCGTTTGCAGTGGGGTAGATATCGAGTGCGTTGGACGCCAATTCACCTGCCCCACCGGTGACACCCGTCACAAACACATGCAAAGGCAAGTCAATTGTTCACCTGAATAAACACGGGAACATGTGGTACAAGTCAAAATAGGGAATTCCATCAAACAGCATGTTTGTCACTGATGCGTCAAATTTGGAAATGTCATCCACATGTCAACCATAAAACGTTTTAAAAGCTTTACTTCAAGGCCTTGAATATTGTAACCTTGATCAAACAACTTCTAAGAAAGGGTTGTATGACGCTCTTTGAAATCTTGGTAGAAAGAGAATGCTAGATTATACCTTAAAAGTTGTGAAATGTAAACACCAAAGGCTAGAGCTGCTGGACTATTGTTCGACATGAAGGGAAAGTTGACTATTGGAAAGTTGTCACACAGTCTTGTGTTTTGTGACTCTTTATGCAAAGATCTACATGATGAAACAGATGCGTCGGTCTCACTGGTCTCCTTTATTTCTAGTTCAGGTGGGTAAATCATTTGAAGGGAATTGGATATTTGATTATCATTGAACGATATCAGATCATCGATATACATAAAGCATAAGTTAATTATCTTGGACAAATTACCTAGTTTCGACTTTGACTATGCCAATCCAAATAGAAATTGCGATTCATATGCATAAAGAAGCAGATCCACGAGAAGGGGACTTTAATGCCTCTTAAAAAGATGCGAAGTAGCGAGGATTGCGGCGTTATTGTGGTCACGTATCATTGATTTTCATTGATTGATCCTTCATATGATGAATGGCATACAAAAGTGGTAATTGTAAGATCTGCACGATCCACACACACACACACACACACACACACACACACACACACACACACACCCTCCTCACACACACACACCCTCCTCACACACACACACCCTCCTCACACACACACACACACCCAACTGTCAATTTAGGACAGAATTCTAGAAAATCGAAAAATACAACTCAAAATGGTTCTAAAACAAATGTAAACATTTCTATTTAGATTCAACAACTGCAGTTCCAACCACAACTGCAGCGCCAACAACTATTGTCACAACTATAACACTTCCCACTACTACAACCACAACCACTACCACTACGACCACAACTACAACTACGACGACTGTGGCAGCTCCTGTAACGGGACCAGTCACATACACATACCATGTCACCAGAACATACTGGGATGACGCTCGCACAACATGCATACAGAATGGAGGTGATATGGCGTCACTGGACACACAGGAAAGGTTCGACGCAGTGAAGATATTCCTAGATAGTGAGTATACAGAAATGCTTCTGTTTTGTCGGAATTTGTATTATTCGAGTTGGTTAGCGTGTAACTGTGTCTTGCTAGACTGTATGTTATAGATATGGCATGTATTAATATCTGAGAGCTTCAGCGTACCTTATTGTACTTGATTAACGGATATCATTTGTTTGAAGCGATATGTTTCATTCATTCAAGTCTAAATAGCCACCAAAAAAGTTCACAAATATTTCATATGGATTAAAGAATGGTTGAATGAGATCGATGATTAGTCGAAAAGGCGCCCTTGCATAATTTGGCCTACCAAAAACCTATGATCACGGATTCGAATCACAGATTCGCCCTGCTTATGTGTCTAGGTTTGTCAGCACCACATCCGTGCTCGTGGATATCACGAAAGCAGTGGACGTCTAGACCCTGCTTCCCTTCTGGCTTTCTCCACATCAAGTTGACACGCCGTTTTACATCTGAGTGGCGTGAAACCAAACTCACTCGCCCACTTCAATTACTTCTTTGTGAATTATTTGAACCAAATTGAACGTGGCTTGTAAGCACGTCCTGTCATCACTTATATGATGCCTTTTTCACTATAAACTATAGAAGTAACTAGAGAGTGAAATTGCTCTCTTACTTTCTTTACAGACAGGAAAAGGATGAGGCAGACCGTGGCCAACTCTCTATTGGTGGGTATCACCCGAAGTGCCGCTGATGGGAAACTCTACTGGACTAACGGCGCCCTCATGGACAGCAACGACATATGGGCTAGTGGATATCCCCGAGCGACACAGAGTTGCGGATATACGGCCCCTTTCAAAAAGATGACATATAGAACCTACCGCTGTTCTATTTTCAGTTCTAGCTTCATCTGTCAGACTCCTGCTTGAGTGAAACTCATCTTTAATAGTTTATTGGAGGGTTAGGGAAGAACAGAATGTATATTTTATCATAAATACCACTCAGAAAGAACGTTTATATTTATTATGTAGACATGAAATTATCATTGTTTCACTACAATGTCTTTCATTACAAACCTCAAATAATAATATCTTTTTCTCATATAAGTTGCCCTCGCATTTGACATAAGAACAGAAGCTCCTTTTGTCCATGGATAAAAATAATATCTATACCGTTCCCTCTCTATACACTCGCATTTCCTTCAGTAAGTGGAATGAACAACACTGACAGAAGAAGAATATACTGCGAAAAATACACCATGTACATGTACTTTCTTTTCTTAAGGGCGGATACGTCACCTAATGCGCTGCAATTCGCTATGCAGAATTGGCCAGTCTGGTCAAACTCAGCTGAATGTTTCCATACATTTACCTGTTCGTGTAATGGGCTTGTGGTATCGATATGTGAAATATATTTGATTGCTGATATGGGACAAGTGTGTAATTGAACATTGCTGAAAATGCGAGAATATATATTAATTTAATTAGTGTTTTAAAACAACTACGTTATTTGAAGTGGACACTTCATGCAGCTGTCAGAGTTACAAACGCACATTTCAAGCTATGGTTAATATATTTTTGCAAAAAGTGGATGAGTGAGTGAGTTGGATTTAACGCAGCCCGAAGTGATAATGATGCTGGTCACGTACGTTTAGCACGTTGGTGAAACCCACGAGTACGGGTATGGCGCTGACAAACCTTGAAGAATAGTCTGGGTGAACCGGGATTCGAACTCACAATCCACTGGCAGGTTACTGGCATGACCAACCCTGCACAGCAAATAATGCGCCTTAGCGATTTAAATTATGTTTTTATCAGGTAGCAAAGATACCAGAATCATTCTCATCAGACATTCACGTGTTATTGAGACTCAAAGTTCTTTTAACTGTCATGTTAAAGTTTTCTTGTTATTTTGCGGCATTAGCATGAAACTACTTGCAAGCACGAGGAACCTATTTCCCATGAAAATGCCAACAGTAAATCCGGCTTTTGGTTCCAGTAAATCAAAATAGAAACTTTCGGTAAGTTTGTTAGAGAAAAAGATATAGCTAACCTAAGACCCTGATGTTATTTCGTTTGCTCCAGTCATTTTGGTGCAACCAAAGGGTTATTGTTAAAGCAAGTTATTCCATTAGGCTTTCCTACAACTGGTGACTTAGGAGCCAATACCTACATTGTATCTTATGTACATATTTAGATCAAGTACTGAGTTTAATGTTTAATATTTCTTATTTTATTCATGATAAATTTTGCGTTCATAAATGAGAATTGTAAATAAAATATACACATACTTATACATGAATGGCACTCATAAAACAGTTTGGTAGGTATTGTATCCTTATCCCTCTTAATAGTTCTTATAAATTTCTCAAACGTTTATTCTTGAAAATAAGCGAATATATTTTTCCTGAATAAGTACATAACTTTCTAAAAAATATTCATAGTTTGATTATTTTATCTTCTCCTTCTACATCTTGAGCCTGGAACCACATGTTTTGGATCAAGGTATTGGCGAGGATATGCATTTTGATCATGTGGAGGACATTGCTTCACATATGGAGGTTACAAGTCTGTGTGATGTGTCTGCAGAGGATTCACGTATAACTGCAGAAATTGTTCCCTCTGTCATCATGACTACTCTGGTTCTCAAACGTTGACCAGTCGCTATGTCACTTAATGTACCCAAACAAATTCAGAACCTGTCACATCAGCTGGAAGCCAGATATTAGAAAATGAAATTATCTATTGTTATGCTGGCAGATGAATCATCAACTCACAAACCAACATTGACCTATGATGACATCAGGTGCTCCCATAAAAGTGTTATGTTCGACACTGGACTGCCAGATTCATCAACATTTGAGGTTTGTTTGATGAAATGCATAATGAACAGATTTACTCTGAAACATCTCATGGTGGGATGCCACATGATATGAGGCAGATTGGTGATATTTTCATGATTCTAATGAGACTGATATTGGGTCTGTTACTAGATGATTTAGCGCACAGATTTAGAATGTCACGTGCAACTTGCAGCAGACTCTGCCACAAGTGGTTTGACTATTTGTATGTTCAGTTCTCATTATTGATGCAGCGGCCAAGTAGGGAAAATGTAAATGCAACTATGCCCGAGTCATTTAGTATAAAATATATAGAGTGGTTGTAGATTGCAGAGAAATGGACGGAGACCCCTAGTTCACTTCAGCTACAGTCACTTTTATACAGCGACTACAAGTCACATACGACCTACAAGGCATTGATTGGGATAAGTCCAACTGGTGTGGTAACACTCTCTTCAGATTTGTATTGTGGTAGTATAAGCGACAAACATATCACCAGACGTATTGGTCTTGTTGAACCGTGTGAGCAAGGTGATACTTTTATGGCAGCTAAAGGTTTTATCTCTGATTTAACTACACCTAGAGGTATTGATCTCAGTATTCCCCATTTAAAACTAAAAAGCAAAAACTGACTGAACATGAGGTGAATGCCCATTTGAATATTGCCCATTTGCGGAATCATGTTGAGCCTCAAATAGAAAGAATTAAAAACTTTCGCATAATACAAGGAACTGTTCAAATCACAATGGCTTCACAGGTAACAAAAATATGGCATAGATGTATTTGTTCGTATGTGAACAACCGCCTCTTGTTCTTAAATGATATTCATTCATATGAATTTGTTAGGGGTGTGGCTTAGGTCAGAGTACAAGTTACTTTAATCACACTTTAACATGTTTTCTTGGAGTGTGAAAGCTTGTAAATGATGACTGTTTTATTTTTTATTGTTTGTTTGACAAATTGGGTCTTGAGAAGACCTTTAGTAGGCCTGTAACATATTTCTCAGACAGTTTTCCTGTTGGATCTATTCTGGTAAAGGTCTGGCCCCTGGCCCCTGGAGGTTTTTGTCTGCACATAAGAAATTCTATGTCATATTTCTTTGGAAGGATTCATTACACTGTTACCGATGGTCAGTTTTCTTGTTAATGAAAACTTTGCCATTTTTAAAAGGAACACCAGTATGATGTGTATACAACCAGAAGATTGTGTGTAGTAAAACAAAGTCAAATTTGTCATGTCATGGGTACCCATCTTAGCTGTAGAGCAGGTCAGGACACCAATGTAATAAACTAATATGGAAACATTCGTTAAAAATTGACTGTTGACAGTATGTTTGAAAATGTGTCTTTGTTCATATTGTGCAGTACGCTATTTAGGAAAGCTTGTGAACTGTGAACAGCTGAACCCACACAAAGGGAGATAATTTACTAAAGCTACTTTATTGTGCCTTATGACATGTTTTGATTCATTCGCTTTTTTTCCATATGTAAATACCAAATAGTAATTTTTCATATGATTTATATTCATGTTTCTAAAACATACTGTGAGGCGAAGGTCTAAATACTGCAATAAATACTTGACTTGAATTTGTTATACTGAATGGTCAAGGAAATTTGAAAATAGTAACCACGCTGAATAATAAACTGTAATAATAATGTCCCTCTAGCTGTTCAACAGCAATCCATTTTGAACCGATTTTGTTGGTGGTGAGTCAATATTGATCTGAACATCAGTTCAACAATTAAATAATTTTAACGATTTATTTGTGTCTTGGTTATCATTGTTTTTGACATGTACATGTTTAAAAGCATGACTTGTATATTTAAGCTGCAAAGCTGCTACATGCTATCAAAACAGATGACAAAGCTTTAAAGAAACGCAACATGCTAAGTGTGAGGAAAAACAACACAATTATTTATATGTGATGTATATTGTTTGTAGAATTAATATCAAATACAAGAGGTGAAGCAATTCAATTATAAAGAAGATTCAAGAACTTTGAAAGTGAAGTAATGGTAAACCACACTCATGGTATCAGCCAGCACATTGTAATTTAAGCAGTTACCATCATGACATGTTCCAGTCATGTGCGCCCCAATATCCAACCATACATTATCCAGTCATTTGGAAGGCAATCAGATTGTTCATTCAATAAAGATACTCTTCGGTACGTCCATGGCATACAAATATACATGTATATACCACATATTAGACACCTATTTGTATACATATCGGCTGCAGACCTATCTTTTTTCTCTAAATCAGCTTTTAGTATCAAAATCATACAGTTCAATGCAAGATCCATTCAAATATACCAGTCTAATTGCCTGCACAGTGTACAACAAAGCAATAGTATGTATATAATCCAGCCATATGAACATCAATATAGTGGTACATCGTCTAATCATATGGACCGTTATCAGATTGTTCATACAGTATACGTGCAGACAAGTAAGACCTGAGAACTTCATATAACATGCATATACTACATTTATACACCTATTTGCATACTTATCTACCGCAGTCCTATCTATCACTCTTTATCAGGTTCAAGTATCAAAGTCGGACAGTTTAATACATCATTCATTCAAGTTAACTAATCTAAATGCGACACAGTGTCCATATAGGCAGGAACCATCATTACATAATCCAGTGAAGCGCGCCATCAAGATATAGCATGCGCACTATATCATCCAATCATATGGACCATAGTCAGATTGTTCATACAGTTTATGTGCACATAAGTCAGACAATAGTGTTAAGATATACATGCATATACAACATACATATACCTATTTACATTTGAAATCTTAGTACTTAATTATACAGTGGAATACCCCTTTTCACACTTCTTGAGTATAAGTCTCGTAGGACATTAATGAGGTAAAATTTGTTCAATTGAGTCAGTATGTCATTCCAGACTTTTTCATCAAATCTAATTCTGTTAACAGTCAACCAATTCAAAGTGCAAACCATGAAATCACACCACAGTTTTTCAGCGATAGCCATTTGACCCCGAATTTTATGATCATATCTATGAGACCTTTTTAAGCCGAACACAGCCATTTTCATCAAAAGAACAGAAGAATCGAGAATCCTTGGCACACTCCATGGGCTCCCTCCATTTCCAGTCACAAAGTGCAGGACATTTTCCCAGTATGCCCATGAAAAAGTTTGTATCAAACCCAATGGGTTAGCACCTAGGTGAGGTTACTTTGGATTAACGATAAGACCATTCTGTACAACACAGACACAGTTCGGGTTTGCTGTTTGTTAGACCTTGCGTGCTGCAGGTTCATGGCTGGTTCACCATTTACAATAACTGATATTAGAAATGTCTTTGAAGTCACATACATCTTTGAGAAGATTATCCGTCTTTGTGTCAATATGCATCAACACAACATCTCCAAATTTAGAAGTACGTCTTTCACTCCAGGCATCTAACCACAGGTCAGTTTTATGCTGACCTCTTGTTAAAGTCTCAATATGGTGGGCATCTTCCTCTGTCTGGCACACGCATACAATTAAATGATGCTAGCATTTCATCCTGACAATCAATGGAATGGAAATCTACATGATCACAATATGAAAAGGAAATGTTATGAAGGGAGGTAAAGAGGGTTTCATATTTGATGGTGTAGAGGTGTCTGAACAAAAACTTTAACCAGGCAGCATTTGAGTTCTTACTTTTACGTTTCTGTTTAAATCTCTTACAATTGATAATGGGTTTAATCTCAGCTGCTTTTCATCACAATTCTTATCACACTTATCTGAATTGGAAGTAAATTCAATCACTTTACCCTCTGCATGTACACCACGGGATGACTTTCTAAAGTTAACATCTTGTGGTCTCTTCGGACGAAGTTTCCTCTTGCGCGGGTTATTCCACTTGCATGGTTGGGAGGTGCATGACTTGTTAGGATGTGTAGTTCCCGCTTTCCTCCTTGTTGTTACGTCATCAAAACAGTGGCACAATACAGCAATGTGATAACAAGTCTCACCAGCCCTGAAAGATTAAAAGAAAAGTTCAGAAGAATCTCAAAATTATGTATATATGCGGATTATTTGAAGTTTTGTTTTCATACAATTTCGCACTAAAAGTAATTATCAAGCTAATTATCAATATACATTATTTATATTTGCAAGTATTTGTCATGTGCACTGTACTGCTTGTTTGCCTTGAAATTAATAGGTGGAGTGTGAGTGAAGCAATCTCTTTTCGGAGGGAGCAGAAATCTGAATATGAAAAATGCAAAATAGGCCCACTTACCCAGCTGCACAAGTGCAGTCTGCAGAATGAATCTTGCCTGTTACCTTTGACAAACAAATCCATGCGGTGTGGTCTTGGCATTCCTTCTTGTTGCTTGTAAGCAGTGATGGTATAACCTTGCACCGAACGATAGCATGGCTGAATACGTCTGAGACAGGACTAAACTCCAGTGAGTGAATACAGGAATGAAGTGTCCCATTTCCCAAACTGCGAGATTCTGCGGATCAG